CATAAGAATTGTGTGCTACGTATGTAAATTTCTCTATTATTTATGCCTTCATGGAGTTTGATGGCTTACATGCATCAAGGATGAGCCCAGGGTCGAGAGCAGCTTTTGGATCAACTTCACCGCTCCCATAATCAAAGGGTGTTGCTGGAGAAAGCATCAATATTTCTGTATCCGAGTATTGCTGCGCTTGAAGAGGCCGACCAGCTCGGTCCATCGTATTAGCTGTCGTCATTAAAGCTGACTTGATAGCAGCAGGGCTCCAATGTGGGTATTTCTGTTTCATGAGTGCTGCAATTCCAGCAATATGAGGGGTGGCCATGCTTGTACCAGATACCATGGCAAAACCTTCCCCTGTTAAGGTCAATGAGATATTATTTATAGATAAGTATTTTAATATGATGGTAAGAGGAAGTCAAAGACCAAAGGTTGTTCATGCATCCCTTAAAATGGGAAGCCAAAGAAAGGAAGAATGAGTTGCAGAAAAAACTTCACCAACTAGGAAGGTCAACAATTATTGGGGCTTAAGAATACATTGAAATGCTTATTAAATGGAAAATTGTGCATGTTGATGGTATTTATGAAGTCAAATTTTACTGTAAAAATAAAGAGAAATTAGCTTTTACCCAGCAAATAAAAGTAGCGTGTGGGGTAAATTTCAAAACGTAGATTAATCTGGGGAGTGCTGTTGGTTCGACTAATTGCATTACGAAAGTTCAATGCTCTAATTTTTAAGATTTAACATCTCAAAAATTTATTTGAAGGATTAAAATATGGACAAAACATGCTAAAATGTTATTTTTCAACCGCTGCCACTAAAAACTATTGATTGTGAACTTTCCTACCTTCATAGTTGGCCTCATCTGTTCCATTTGGTGCCCAGGCAGCCCAGATGAGAGAACCTGGAGCTAAAATATCAGGTTTGAGAACATCTGCATCTTCAAAGCTGAAATCCTTTACATCTGGTCCTCGAGAAGAGAATAATGCCACCTGGGGAGCAGAATTATGAAGTATTGGGGCCAAGCCATCCGCAATGCTAGCTGTAGCATAGAAACCTGTTGGCCGCCCAGCCCAATCTCTTTTGGTCGAACAGTTATAGTAGTTTATAAGCTCCTGCGGTAAAATATTGGAGAAGTAATTAGTTAAACATATGTCATGACCAAAAGACCAAAGTCTGATACAGATTGTTCACTTGAAAAAAGAAAACAATAAAAGTAGAAAAACAATCCAATTGAGCTAAGTACCCTTGTCTGGCTGACATCAGTAATCAGAATCCCGGGAAGAGAAACGGGAACAGGATCATATTTAGTTCCTGGATAGCTATTCTCCACAGCTACAACAAAGCCAGCTGCTCCAAGACTTTTGGCAGTTTGACAGACTTTCTTAATTGATGCTGCGCCTGAAACAAAATTGAAAGAATATCCACAAAGAAGGATTTTCCCCTCCACCAGGTTCTTATTAAGTAGCTCTGGTCTCTGGCAGTCCAACGGATTGTACTTCATGACAGATGAATCCAACAGCACATCACTCACAGATACCAGGTCAAACGATTTATTCGCATGAGTGGCAGCTGCATTTAGATAATAAGATATTTTAGAAATAAAAAGGCACCTTTGCATGGCTGGTTATGAGAAATGGGAGTGCTAAGAAAACACCTAAGCTAGCAAGAAAGAGCATCAACCATACTACAACGTTCTAGACTACAATTCATACGAACATGAAACTTAATTTTTTTTAACTATTACTTCTTTTAATTGTACCAAGCCAGACGGTCTTAATGGGAGAG